AGTCCAGGCAGTAATCCATGAGAAAGCATTAATCCATAGCGAGTTGATGGCACTTAACACACACAAATGTTAGTTGGACATGTGTTAAGGTCACTGACCTCAACATATCCTTGCTTTGCAAACCCATCAGTGACAATCCCATGGGAGAGAGAGATACACATGAATAACTTTGAGCAAGATGAGGGGGTGCTAAAAATGGCAGAAACAGCTCAGACAGGTCTTTTCCTTGTGCTTTCCATTATGCTTTCAGGCATGTATGACATGTACTGATGCATCATTATGTTGTGTGCACAGGGTGGTCTAGAAAAACCCAGCAAGTTAAACAACAAACCTGCAGCTCATCAAATACAATAGCTATAGGTTCATCTTCATCTTCTAAAAATAAAAAAGGTTCATCTTCATCTTCTGTGCAGGCTGCGCATGTGCAGACCTGCCATGGCAGATCTTCTAGCTTAGAATCCTTATGGGCATCCATGTGCCCATTGGACCTGTTGTAAATGTCTCCCTCCCAACAGTCACACAGTCCAATGGCACAACATCGCTTTCTCCCTCAGTTCCTTCTTTGTTGTGATGGAGTAGGTCTATACATTGTTTTAGTTAAGAAGGAAATTGACAAACTGTTCCCAAAGAAATGTGCCGAATGTGGAGCAAAGATGGCACAGACAGATGAACATGGTCTGTGCCATGTTATATCTGGGCAAACTGGGTTAAACTGCAAGGTTTGTCAGCAGTTTACTAATAAGACCTGCTCTGAAATCAGAGTGTCTAAACTGAAAATGGTGCTATGGGAGACAGCCCTGTAGGCTGCGGAGATGCCAGCTGTGGCTGCTCAAGCTACCAAGAGATCATCTCCACGACGTCGAGTCATCGCCACAAAGCTGGCTCCATTGGCGTTGATAACGCTTCAGCCACTATTCAATCCAGATCCCCTTTGGTGTTGCCAGCCAAGAAGGTAAAGAGCAAAGAGAAGCATAGAGAGTAGGAAGCCAGGGACTAAACATCACTGCGCTAAAGTCTACTCTGAGTAAAGAACAAAGAGGAGAGAGGGAACTGTAACCTGAGCCTCCACCTAGAATGCTGTTGGTCAGATCAGCCTCCCTAGAACTGTCGCTGTTGGAAGGAGAGATTAGGATGGATCCAGTCCCTCTGCTGGAGCTGCGGCATCAGCAGAGACCAGCACAATTGGGTCCGTGGCCAGCAGCTGTTCTGCCTATGGCACCATGGTTTTACTGCATGCCCCCTCACTACCTGCAAAACGAGTCAAGATAATAATAATAATAATAATATACTTTATTGTCATTGTACATAGTACAACGAAATTAAGATGCAATCATTCGGTGATCTACAACCATACTCATATACACTCACACAACCATTCACAACCATCCCATAACTCCCTTAAGGTTCACATTGCAACTTAAACCACCAATGTCACCCAAATTCCAATTCATACAGCATTTAAAGCAATAATAGCTCTCGAATAAAAACTGTTTTTTAATCTGTTTGTCCTTGTTTTAATTGTCCTATATTTTCTACCCGAAGGCAGCAGTTCAAACAGGGAGTGTTCAGGGTGTGACAAATCCTGCAAAATGTTCTTTGCTTTTTCCAAGCATCGAGAACTATACAATTCCTCCATGAATGGGAGAGGACAGCCAATAATCTTCTGGGCTGTGATGATAACTCTCTGGAGTGCTTTCCTATCCACAGCCGTACAACTGGCAAACCAGGCACAGATGCAGTATGTTAAAATACTCTCTATTGAGCAACGATAGAAAGACATCAGTATTTTCTCACTCAAGTTGTTTTTCTTTAAAAGTCTGAGAGAAAAGAGCTTCTGCTGGGCCTTCTTCACCAGAGCAGTGGTGTTAGCGCTCCAGGTCAAGTTCTGCTCAATAATCACTCCCAAAAACTTAAAAGTAGCCACCCTCTCCACACGTTCTCCACCAATAAACAGTGGCTGGATGTCCGTTTTGTTCCTCCTATAGTCCACTACCAATTCCTTGGTCTTGGTGGTGTTGAGGATCAAATTATTTTCCCTGCACCAAACACAAAGCCGTTCCACC